ATACATGCACAATATGCTCTCACAGGTAAAATCTAAAAAACCATCAAAAAACACAATTGAACTCATAGATAGAGGAGAGATTGGTGGTTGCCAGGGGCAGCAGGTGGGAGGTGGGCAAAACTGGTGAAGGTGGTTGAAAGGTACAAACATCCAGTTATGAAATAAGTAAGTCCTGGGAATGTAATATACAGCAATAGTGACTATAGTTAATAACTCTGTCTTTATATTTGAAAGTTACTAAGGAAGAAATCTTAAAATTTTTCATCATATCCATAGCAGTGTTATTTACAATAGCCAAGATCTGGAAATAGCCCAAGTGCCCATCAGTAGATGGGAAGATAAAAAGATGTGGCACATTTACATAATAGAATACTATGCGGCTATAAAAAAAGAAGGAACTCTTGCCCTTTGCAGCAGTATAGATAGACCCAGAGGTTATTATGCTAACCAAATAAGCCAGTCAAAGAAATACAATTACCACATGATCTCACTTATATGTGGAATCTAAGGAACAAAAGAAACTGACAAACAAAATGGGACCAGAGTTATGGATAAATGGAAAACAATGACAGATCTCAGAGGGGAGGTTAGTTGGGGGACTGAAAGAGATTAACCAAAGAACACATATGCATATATGCATAACCCATGGACACAGACAACGTGGTGAAGGCTGGGGGTGGGGCTGCTTGGAGAGGGATAAAATGAGAGAAAATAGGGAATATCTGTAATAGTGTCAGCAATAACATTTTTTTAATTGTTTTCATCACAAGAAAAAAATTGAAACTGTGTGTCAATAAGTGTTAATTAGGCTTATTGTGGTGATCATTTTGCAATATACATAAATATCAAGTCATTATGTTGTAACTAATATGTTATAAGTCAATTACATTTAAAAAAAAGACCATTGTAATTTAGAGCCATTCAGCTCTGCACAGGACTTATTAGATGCACACAGACTTAGAAGGCTGCCGCACGGGGAACACTGACTCACATCATACTTTCTTAATGTTTTTCACTCTGTAAAGTGTCCAAAGCTTTCCTCCAGCATCACAGAAGTCAGCTCTAGCTTTTGTAAGCTCTGGCGGCCTTCACCCAGGCACAGAGGTAATTGCTAAGGTCATTAAACTACTAGTAAGCTAGCAACTACCAAGAACTAACCCATACCTCCCTCCCAGAAGCCAAGTAGGAAATCATGCCTTTTCCAGTCCAGCAAACTCTGTCATTCCCCTTCCCCACCTGCTGGCGCATGTGCACATACACCTAACACCACCATCACCATCGCAGACGCTGGCCTGCAGTGTCTGTGGCGTTATGGATGAGACATGAGACAAATTCACACAGACTACCAAGTCCTGTGGAGGAGAAGGGATGGCATGGCTACTCCCTCAAGTGGGGCGAGCACACTGACCCTTGCCTTGAAAAGGCTTTATTGGGTTTCAATTTGCACAGGGATACAGGTAAAGTTCATTAATCATTGTCAGTAGGGATCAAACAATAGACAACATACACAGAACTACGAGGGCCTATTCTGAGTCAGGGTCTGTTAGCTAAAGGGCTACAAAACTTTGGGAAACAAACTCATTTCCTGCTCAGACCCTTATCATTTGATTGAGAGCATTCTTAGCAAAGCCGGTTTCACAGGACACCACCACCACAGCTCTCTGCTGAGGCTCTCTGAAACACTGGGGCAATCGATCACTCCACATTCACAGTGGATTGTTCCATTTGGCTGAAGGTTACCCTGCTTGATTCCAGGATTTCCATTTCTCCTATAGTTTTCCTTTTCTCTTATAGAATTGAAGCAGAATGTAGCCTTCTCTCCCAGGGCTGGGATTATCATTGCTGGGAGGTGCGGTACAGATGCGGGAGGTGTGAGGACAGGAACCAGTGGGTTCCTGACCCTCTGGTGGGCCTGGCACTCGTTTCTCCTCACCAGGGGCCTGTGGTGTTGAGCTTCATGGCTCCGTGGCCTCTGCCTGGCTGTCTTTCTCTAGCGCCATTTAACGGATCAAACGTTTAACATTCACCTCCTAAATGACTCCTTGCCCTCTAGAAAGTCTCCATCAACGCCATTAAGAGGAGCCTTTAACTCCACAAGCTCATTCCAAACATCATCTATAGCCACAATGCATGAAACACACCCCTCTTCCTTGGCTTAGATCATTTTTCCATATCCTTTACCTAATATTACTGTCTTTGTTTGCATCTGACAAAACGCAAGAATTTGTGCTGAGGATAAAAGGAAGTAAACTTCATCCTGCACTGCCCCTGCCCCGTGTAGTTTCCAAGTGTTCTCCCGGAGTAAGGCATGGATGGGTCTTTCTGAAGGAGTTCCAGGTTCAGAAAAAGCATTTGGATATTGACTAGTGGATTATAAATAAAACATAAAATAAAACCAGGCATTGAAAAGCATCCGCAGCTGTGTGAAACAATGAAAGTCTGAAACATTTCAGGTTTTATGGCTGCTTGACCCTCTTATGACTTTTTGGGGGGGAGGAGAGGGGGGACAAATGTGGGGAAGATGAAGGTGAAGCTCATTCTGGAGAGTCAGCCACATGCCAGAGGATCTCCGTGGAAAGTAAGCCCTGTATCTTTCACATTGTATCTTTGAACTGTGTCTTCACATGCCTGTCTTAGAAGGGCCTGAAATCAATAAGAAGTTCAAAAACCTTTCCATATGCAGCTAAAAATCTGCCCTTACTTTTCTTTCTCTGCACCCTGAGGAGTTCTGAAACTTCCTTCATTCCTACATCAAGCCTGAGACACCAGGCTCCCTAGAACTGTCGTTTATTCTGCATTATGTCTGAAACATTCTGCCAGGCATCTGTGGGTCTTTAAAGGAAATGTGAAAAGTAGCAAAGACACATCTGTACGGCAAAGACATGTGGCACAGGGAAGGAGCACATAAATCAAAGGCGGAGAGAAGCCTGCTAGCAACCTAGAAATCAAATTGTGTCAGGGAGAAGGCCCACGTGCAAAAATAGATTAGAAGAGCACTGAGCGAGGGAGAAGAAAGACGAGCAGCCCCTGCTAAAATTAATGAGAGGCAGAGGGAGCCTGGAGAAAAAGCCTGAATGAAACGAGTCTTGCACTGCTGAAGGCTGGACAAGCATTTCAGCAAGTGATATCGACTCCTGCTCGAAAAATGCATGGCCGTCCATCTCCACTTTGCTCTTTGTGTGTCCTGCTACTCTCAAGACGCAGCTACAGGCTCTGGAAGAAATGAGGGGAGGAAGGAGACATGAAAGGAAGAGCAGGTGTAGGAATGTAGATGAGCATGGAAACCACCATCACAGCACCATCCTTCAGGTGACCTCCGGTGCCCGACCCCAGCTTTGTGACCACTGTGCTGAGTGTGAGCAGGGCTGCCTCACAAGTACCTTCAGATGCATCCATAAAGCACCATGTGCAGGCGCCAGCACAGAGGGGGGCTTCTTAAAGAGTAGCTGTTACTGTTATTAAATAAAATGTAAAAGCAGGTGAGCGTTGTATCTAAAACATTTCTTGTTCACCTGTGACTTCCAGGCCCTAGTTCCTTCTTTTTCTCAAAACTCCATATTCCAATTCTCTCATCTACTCCAACTCCTGTGTTGGAATAAAGCAGTCCCTTCACTGGCCCAAAAGTTCTTCTTAAAAAATTAATACATATCTAATACATTTAACAAAAGCAAACATGAACAAGAAAAAATTGTCAGAAAGCTCCATTTACCATCCAGCCTCTTCCCTTGCCAATAACAATACCTGAGATGTAAGTTTGAGCCTCTCTAGACTAGAATCCCAGAAAAGCAGGTGGCTTTGACAAATGACTTCAACGATGTGATTCTGCACCATCTAGAATGTTACCACTCTCAGTAACTGAGCACCCCAAAAGCCATTGCCCAAACGATAAATTATTTCCTTCCACAGACTGCCATGAGCACCAGAAATTGAAGGGTCAACTAGATTTATCAAAAACCTCATTAAAATCCAGGAGTTTTGAATTTTTATTTGCTGTCATAGATTGTTCCCTACACTGTCACAGACAACTGTACTCACCAAAGTTCAAACGCCAAAAGGGAAAACCCCAGAGTGTGTCTTTTTTAAAGCCCAGGTATTAGTCTCCAAGAGCTCTAAGTAGCCTCTGCGTGTGAGATCTGGAGCAGAGCCATGCCCCAGCCACCCTCTGGGCAACATCCCTCTGTCTGGACTCCACTGTTCCCCATCGTTCTCACGGGGGAGACGAGCCTGTCCCAGTGAGCCCACAAGAGAGTACTATCTATCAATACTTTGCACTAATCTTATTATGAAGGTGAGAAACGTCCTCTGGTGTTGGACTCTGAACCATGATGGTGATCATTCTGATCAGACCTTTTGATCCTGTATGACCTGCAGCCTCAGGTAGCGTGTTCTGCCTCTTCTGCAGCACTTGACATGGTTTAGAAGGTGAATATAAATCCCAGGGCAGACACTCAGGTGTCCTAGAAATTTAACTTCATTTTATTTATGAGCTTAACTTCTATTTCAAACCCTCATTCTGCCTGATGGCAGAAACTTAACCTAAGCCAATGTGGAGTTCTATCTCCAATCCCTGAGTAATAATAACTATGAGCTAGTTTATAGCACCAGGCCCTGTGCTTAGGTGGTATGCTAGTCATTAGATAATCATTGCTCAAAAAAATGCCAGCTCTCTTCTTCCAAACATATGGGAGTGTTATACTTCCTCATACCCCAAAAGTGTGTCCACATGACTTGCCTTGACAAATGAAATGTGGCATTTCCAGAAGGAAGATTGCCAGTTCATACTTCTCCATACTTCTTCCTTTTTAAAAAAATTCCTCTGCCATAGAAACAGCCAACTTTCCAAACACAGGCTGCTCCATCAGGCCCCTGGGTGAGGACCATGCTGGCCTAGCACAGAGCTTTCAGCTGATTGGCAGTAGGCCAATAGTGTGAGTAAGAAATGAGGCTTTGTTGTCGGGCCACTTATACTTGTTTTGTTACTTCATCATACTTCAGCCTACCTGCAGGTGATGGCATCCATCCAAGGTGTCCTCATTCCCACTTTGCCTTCAACCTGTCAATCTGCACTGGCTGAGTCATCTTCCATTCCACACCTCAAAGCCTCCTCAAATTCAGATGTCTCTCAGCTGTTTGCGATGCCCTGCTAGAAGACAGGGACCAATCTGTTGTCACAGCATCACACTGGGCCATGTGAAATTCTGGCAGAAGTTCAGACCTATCTGCCCAGGCATGGGCTCCCTGGAGTCTCATGATTCCCTTGAGGTTCTAACAAGGAAAATGAGCAAGCCTGCCTCCACCCAAGCTGAGGCTTCCCACCATCTCCACTTCTTCGGGAGGCTTTGGTCCACCCATTTCCTAAATCCTACAACAGTTGCCCTCTCCTAGCTTCTCCTACAGGGCCTCCTTGCCCTATCACTGCCCCCAAACCTGGGGGACTTTAATCTGGTGTTGGGCAAAAAGCCTTGTTCCGACTTACCAGTGCCACCCCCACCCAATCTGTTATATCTATTTGGAGTTTCTTCAACCCCTATCTGCTGGGAATTTACAACTCAGAAGCCAAGAATTGTCCCCTGTTTGTCTCTGAATTCTGTCAGACCCCTTTTTCCCCTGGAGACAATGAATGAGAATACCCCAGCTACCTGAATGGAGTGAGGACCAAGGAAATGAAGTAGTGGTGGTGCTATCAACTGATATTCCAGAATATCCTTCTGTACATGTGTTCTGTCCAATTATGAAGCTCAGAATTAAAGAGAGCCTCACTCAGAGGAACCCAATGTGTGACTATTTTAAGCCACTGTGCAATCTCAAGGGATTCATTTTCGTATGCTCTTAGGGGTGTCCAACCTTTTGGCATCTGTGGGCCACACTGGAAGAAGAGTTGTCTTCAGCCACACATTAACTACATTGTGACACATAATCACAAAACAAATCTCATAATGTTTTAATTAAATTTACGATTTTGTGTTGGTCTGCATTCATAGCCACCCTGGGCCAAGTGTGGACTGCGGGCCATGCCTGCTGCACAGCTTCTAGTGTAAAAAGTGTGGAGGGTCTCGGGCATGGTGTCTCCCCCAGAGACTATAAGATCATTGAAGACAAAGACCATATCTTCTAAGTGTCCTGTAAATAACCAGACTTTCAGAATTTAACAAATACAGGAAGCAGTTAACTAACAACTGAAAATGAGAACACGCTCACCGTACTTAAGCTTTTAACTGCAGGATATGCCCTTTCTCATGGCAGCCACTTAGACCCTGAAAAGGGCCTATCATTCCCTCCCTGGAGCATTTGAAAAACCCAAGAGATAAATGTAGATCCCAGGGCTTCTTGAAAGGAGGGTAGAAAGCATTCAAAAGTCAATGTCTGAGTGGGAAACCCCTCGTGTCCTGAGCTGTGATCATCTTCTAGGCCTGGGCAGTTTTCTGTGGGTGAGGTGAAATAACAAAGAGGCCTCCAGAAATCACACCACTCACTACCTGATAACATTCATTTTTCTAATCTAGGCTAACTTACCACATTCTTGGAGTTGGTGCAGAAAGAAACAAACCAACTCACTCCTCGCCTCTTTCTATCGCTTGATCTGGCCAAGCTAAGGCAAACAAACCGTGGAGAGCGCCTGCGGGTTTCGAGTCGCGCCCTCTCCCTAGGCTCCACCCCTCAGCGTTTCGGGCGCGGTGTGCCAGTGGCTGGGGGTCAAGGTGAGGGCGGGGTTCAGGGCGGTGCAGGGGAGCAGAGGTGAACGCCGCGGGGGGCGGGGCCTCTGGGGCGGGCCGGGTTGAGGGAGTTAGGGCCCGGCGTCTAAGGCCGAGTTGGGGGTCGAGGAACGGGGGCGGGGCTCCAGGGTCCTGGGCCCGGTGGCGCGGTAGTGGGCCGGGCCGGGGTGGGCCGGGCCGGGGACTGTACCGCGGAGGACTCCGGTCTGTTGGAGAGTCTGGGCGGCGGCGGAGGGATCCTTCTGGGGGGAGTCCCGTCGTGGAAGAGGACGAGGATATCCAGCTGGTTCTGCCCGCGGCGGAAGCGCAGCGGCCCGACTCTACTTGCGCTTCTTCCGAGCGTCCGCCACCTCCGAGCGTTCGGTCCTCGGGGCGAGTCTCTGGCCGCTATGGCCGCGGTCGCGGGCTTCCGGGCCTTCGGGTCAAAGGTACCCGACTGGCTCCGGCGCGGCCCACGGGCTCCGCGAGCCGCCGGCTTCTGCAGCAGGGGGCCGCCCGGGGCCGGTCTGTCGGAGCCCGCGCAGCGACCCACCCGCGTGCAGCAGCGAGACGGCATCAGGTCAGCGGCTGGCCGCGGGCGCCCTGACCCTCTGGGAGCGGCCTGCGCCCGCAGGCGTGTGGGGCTGTTCCCGGGTGGGGTGGACTGGTGGGGACACGGAGAGAGACGGGCAGAGTAGGAGGCCAGACGCCGCGCCGCCTAGCCTCCCCACCCCGGTCGTCTGTCACTGCGCAATCCGGCCCGCGGGGTAGTCCCGCCGAGAATAGTGGATGTAGTGCTTAAAGAGGTGACTGGCTTGGGTGCAGTCACGTTTGGGACCCTGCAAGACTCACGCCTGAAGATTTCAATTGGGACCGCCCCCCCCCCCAGGCCAAACTCTTAGTGCAACCGAACCGAGTTGTCATAGGACTCTCAGACTCAGTGTGGGCAGCTCTGCTGGTGGCCCCATTGCTGCTGTGGCCATTAAGGCACCCCTTTACTAGAGGGTTCTGTTCCTCACGAACCTGATCTGGCTCCAAAGCTGTGTTGAGGCCTAGCAAAGCTGCTCCTTGGCCCTCACCGAGAAGTGCCAGGAAAATAAATAGGATGAAGGACAAAACATACTGAGTGCTGCCCTTTGGCTCAACTACCCAAAAGCCCTTAAAACTATACCTGTGTACACAACGGAAACTGGAGAATGAAGTAAAGGTCGAAGGGCCCCAAGCCCCATCCAGGCCTCCTCATGACTTTTGCCACGCCAGTAAAAGGCCCAACAGAAGGCCCGAGTAGCATTTAAAAGTATTTAAAAGTTACAAATCAAACTAATGTTAAACATGTTTTTTTTTTTTTTTCTCCTGCCCTGACAAGTAGGCCTTCATGAAACCTCAAAGGCTGTATTTGAATTTACAACCCTCAGGCTCCTAGGAGTCCTGCCCAGGGGAGCCAGTGGAGAGCCCGCCACTGGCCTAGTTTCGGGTTTTTTTTTCTTCACAGCCTTCACTTACCCCCTCCTACCTCTTCACCTCTCGTTTCTTCCAGGGGCTTGGCTCATAGGTCTGCAGACATCCCATCCACGTGCCCATATTCTGCCCTCTCACTCCTATAAACAACTTTTGGCCACCCTGGGGCCTAGGGATGCCCACTGCACAGCCAGGGAACTCCAGGGTTTCAGGTAACTGCAGCAGGGTTTGGAGGGAGGAGGTGATTCCACGTGAGCACATCCCATTATCCTAGTGCTTCCCTGCTCACTTGGACGGCACAACTGGAAGAGGGCAGATCTGGGTCCATCTGGTCAGAAGCCTGACTTGTGGCCTGGCAGCCACATGACAAATGGAGGCCTGGTGGAGTTCTCCAGAGTTAAACATGGATCAGAAAGAGAGACATGATTAGAGCAACCTATCATCGATTCTGGGACTCATTTAGTAGGAAGGGAGCCCCCAGATCCAACAACTCAGTCAAGCTTTGAGTGTCCTGTGTCAAGGCTGCTCCTCTCAGCAACACCATTGTCATGTAGGGAGGGCCAGCTCTGAACTGGGTGCTGCTCTAGGCACAAGAGGGAGCTCTGAAAATGACTGGCATTTAGGGGTTAGCGGAAGGCTAGGAGCCTATGGAAGTAGGGAAGTAGAGAAGGGCCTGGAGAGGAGGAATGTGTTTCCGGAAGGAGAACATAATCCAAATGGCCACTGGATTTGGTTCAGACAACTAGGGGCTGCTAGGTGAGACTAGTTTTACTGGAGTGGCAGGAACAGGAGCCTGGTGATACCGGGTTGAAAAGTGAACTCGGCAACTTCGAGCACTCTGGCAGGGTGTGTTACACACAAGCCACAGGATTAATGGGATGCACATGAACAGACACTGCTATGCAGCTCAGGCATTTGGGGGCTGGCATCATTTTACATAATTTTGCCTGAGGCCTTAGAATTTAATTTAAACATATGTCATGGGTAGGGTGGCAGCTTTTTAAGTCTGCTACAGCAAGCACACTCATTATTTTACTTGAAGGTTTATCAGCAGTCCTCTCGCCACCATCTCCCTCCCCTACCCCCTTGCCCAATATAGGTTTCAAAGTCTATCAGCATATCAACTGCAAGTCGTGTTTGTACTTAGGAGACAGCATGTATATGAGAAACAATGATGAATATCTCAGCCACCTAAACGTGGCAGCAAAACAGAAATGATATTCCCAAGAAAATGCTATTGTACTGAAATTCTGTCGTCAAAGTGACTTTCCAGAAAACAGTGGCACAGGAGGCTATTTATGGAGAATCCACCCAGACATGTAGTGGTAGGAATATCAGATTCAGGAAAGAATGAGGAAGGCCAGAAACGTGGATGGAGGCTGGTGGGAAACACCTAAAATATATAACAATCTGGTTACTGTCGCCGCTTGTTCCATGTAACAGCAAAAATAAGACTTTTCTGTATATGTAGGCAGAAGACAATACATGTTATTGTAATCAGCATACTTAAAATACCAAGCAGGCCTTTGAATACTAGCTTCTAGTGAGATGACATGTCCAAAAGAGCCCTGTTGCTGTGCAGTTCTGTCCTTTTGTTCTTCACCTATCATTCCATTCTCAGACAGCATGAATCACTGTGCGGAATTACAGGTTGCCACCATAAGAGATGGTAAAATGTTGTCATGTGTGTATGGGCAGCTGCACTGTGGCTGTCATGGGGTGGGTGGGTGAGAGGAGGTTGGGGGCAGATTTTATTCTTGGCACTTGTGTTATTTTTTTCTGAAGGACAACGGAGAGAAGGACAGGTGGCACTGTGTGTCAGATTCCTCTGGCTCCTGCCGCTGTCTTACAAACTGTGCAGCCTCTCAGTGTGCATGGCAATGATTTTGGAACGACTCTGACTTGCCCTTTCGGTGGAGGTGGCAGCAATGTTTCTGACAGCCAACCTGGAGAAAAAGAGAAACAAATCAAGGGGGAGAGGAAGAAGACCCAGCCTGCATTTCAGGAAGTTTCCTTGTTTTGATTTAGCTGTGACTCCAGAGAGTTGACAGACCATCTCATTTGCCTCTAAGCAACATCATTTCTCTTTTCTAGTATTTTAAAAATAGCTCCAAGATTAGAAAGGAATTACAGGGGTCCTTGCTTGTTTTGATTGGTATATGATCCAGTAATTATAAAATGTTCTTCGCAGGAACATTGTCTTGAGCAATCCAAAGAGGAGAAACGCACTGTCACTGGCAATGCTGAAATCTCTCCGAAGTGACATTCTTCATGAAGCTGAAAGCAAAGATCTGAAAGTCATTATCATTTCAGGTACTTATTTGATCTCCATCCTCAGGGTTCTGCAGTACCCAAAGCCTTTTCTCAAAATTCTTTGGGTAACTGGGGCACTCCCTCCCCTCACTTAACAGGAGCATTGTTTGGAAGCTCCTTTACAAGAACATTAATTGTAAAAATACTCTTGAGGAGGGGGCATAAAGGGGACAAATGGTAATTGGAAAAAATGCAATGAAAAAGAAAGAAAATGTCATTTTAACAAAAAACTGTACTTGAAAAATAAATAAATTTTTTTAAAAATTAAAAAATATATCATTTAAAGCCCTATAAAAATTTACAAAGGCAGTGTTCATTTAAAATACATTGTAGAGATTAAGTGGATTCTCACTGAATGTTGGTACACATGGTATTACTCAGTTACAGCAAAACAGCCATGAAATAAAGTAATGGTAACTATGGGAGGACAATAAAAAGGTAAAACAACACACACAAAAAAGAAAAACTCTTGAGTAGTGGGGGCTGTGAAACATTGCCACACTTGGCTGTGCTGGTCTTCCTATCAAAATCAGATGATTTACTGATCATGATGATTGGTTCCCTCATGGACCGGATAAGATGGGTTTAATCACTGATCCTTCAGGCAGCCTACTGCGTCAGCAGGGACCAGGCTGCTCAGGCAGTTGACTGGTTTGTCTTTTCTGCTCCTCCCAAACTTTCCACCAATATCCATAATCTTCAGTGGTGCCAGGAAGAGTGCCCTAGTTTGCTCATTTCTTTCCTTATTCTTTTCCAGTAAAATTTTTTACTGAATTATCTAGTGATGATAGTGATGGTACAAGTAATATCAGTGTCAGCATCTTAAAGCATTCACAGAAAAATAATATTGGTGATGCTCTGTGATGTACTTTTCTTGTTATAGAAATTAAGGACCAGTATTTCTGGAGGCAGATATTTAGAATGTTACCTTCTTATCCATGGTTGAATTTCAACTGTTTTATATGGCAAATGGAAAAGAAACAGGACAGATATTCCTCAGCCATGAGGATGTTACCTGTAAGCTACAAAGGCAGCTAACTTCTGAATAACACAATTTCCTCACCTTTTTAAAGGGAATAATATTGCTTATCAAAAGAACCACAACTAAAGGAAAATATGAGAAAGTGTTAGCAGCTTATCCATGGAGTTACATTTTGCTATTGTTAATAACAGACCCCAGGAAAAAATAAAGGGGTTCTCTTCACACTCCAACCTTCCTGACTGCAACCCTGACTGTGTGGGTGGCCACAGGCTGCAGACTAAATGACAAGGACACTGCCAAAGGCGTGGTGTATTCTGATGAACCTACATAAGTCAATACTCTCAGACCAGACCAAGTCCAAAACCAAAACTGCGAGCCTAGAGGGACAGCTCTGGAAAAAACCCATTCACCTGGCTACTGAGTCCTCTATCCATGGTGTGATTGCAAATCTTGATTGGTTTCCACCACGGACCATTTAGAGTACAGATACCTCACCTTGGATGTCATTACGAAATACTGCCTATAACTCTTCAAGTTAACTGGAATTATTCTTACCAAATTGGGCCATTAACTTTCTCTACCTGTCCACAGCATCAATACAGGTGTTCATTAAAGTTATTCAGTAGACAAATAAGTGACCTTCCCAGCTCTGCTGTTTACAGCTTTTTATTTTCTTATCTTAATTGGAAACATTTGCAGCGGAGGGGCCTGTATTTTCTTCAGGACATGATTTAAAGGAATTGACGGGTGAACAAGGTCCAGAATACCACGCTGAAGTATTTCAGACCTGTTCTGAGGTAAGCCAGGAGGTCGGTTGGCATTGCAAACCTGAAAATGTATATAATTGTACATTTTAAAGATTGTGTTAGGCTTCTAGTTTACAGGTAAGGCTTTATCTATGAGACCTAACCACTGTAGAACTACTGAAACCTCTGTGGTCATTGGTGAATCCTTCATCGAAGCAACAATTTGGTCTTGATTTTTAAGAAACAACTGTAGTTTGCTATTGCCATTGTGATATGCCAAAGAGAGTGAAGTATATGCTGAATCGATTGGTGCAATTTCCAGCATCATGGGTATGTCTTGGTCTACATGTTTTAAGAGGCAAAGGGTGGAAATATCCATCTTTAGAGAGAAAGAACCTAAGATAATTTAAATAATCTTAAATTGAAACATCTCTGTTAGTGGAAAAGAGAGAACATTCATAAATAGAATAAAAATAATGATTTTTAAAATAATTTCTAAGCTCTGGCTGGTGTTGCTTAGTGGATTGAGCACTGGCCTGTGAACTGACAAGTCGCTGTTCCATTCCCAGTCAGGACTGGGTTGTGGGCCAGGTCCCTGGTTGGGTGTGTGCAAGAAGCAATCGATGTTTCTCTGTCATATGGATGTTTCCCTCACTCTCTCTTCCTCCCTTCCCTTCTCTCTGCAAATAAATAAATAAAATTCTTTAAAAAATAAAATAAAATTCAGACTTAAAAAATTATTTTCAAATGCTTCTTTCAACCATGCTTTATAATCACCACCTCCAAGTAGGAAAATCAACCTCTTCATTTTCACTTCCATCTATTTAACCATATTAAGAATAGAAACTGCCAATAGCCATTGAGGAGGAAGAATAAAAAGTTGCGATGATTTATAAATGTATCATCTCAACCCCTGGATAGTCAAAAATTCAATATAGAATCCCACTTCCCGTAACACACTGATCATTTCAGGAGTATTTACCAAGTGCCTCCTATGTGCATGGTACTTGCAAGATATTGAGGGAAATAGAAGGAAAAACGTTTCCTACCAAACCGAAAATGGAAATCTAGTTGAGAAACAAGACGTAGAAAACAGTTTCATAACTTGACCCTAAGATAACTTAGTGTAATTTTCTACCTTTCATAGAGTTATTCCTTCATTTGATCATGTATGATTCAACAAATAGATGATGATACTTACTATGTAGACAAGATAGAGGTGAGTAAGGTGGGCCAGGGACCGGAAGGTGATTAAGATACCTTCTTCACTATTGTTTGTCTTCCTTGCCATTTCCCAGGAACCCTTCTGGAGATCAGATTATAGTTTTCTCACTTCATGGGGGGACAGACGGGGAAAGTGAATGACTTGAGGCTTCACAGAGAGGAGAAAGCAGCCAGAGCTATGGCTTAGGTCTTTTGTTTCACATTAATGATTATGTAACAGTCTGCTCCTGTGTTTACCAAGGCTTGGTGCTTTAAAAGATATTTTCCTGTTAATACCCAGTATGTTTGACCAAATCAGAAAATCATCAAAGATAACCAGTAGGCCTTCCATCCTGCCAAAAGGACCTTCCTTTTGTTACTGCTGGGGGATCTACATGAACTGGGATCTAAACGGGTTACCAAAGGGCCACAGGGAACTAGAGCTGCTTCAGAGGATAAATACCAGATTTTTGTGGAAGCTTCCAATCCCTGGACGCTTCCGGCTCACCGAAAAAGACCCAGTGCCTAAACAAGGCCCCGCCCTGATGCAGTCACAGAGGAGTGAAAAATGCATTGATTTCTTTAACATTTTTGTTCTAAGAAAATCAAATTGTCTGAATAAATATGAGCACCATAAACTTGTGTAAGATTTCAATTTCCAAGTGTAATCAACAGGCAGATTGGAACAGAATGAGCTAGATATTTCATGTTGGGTTCATGCATGAGAAAATTTGATTCCAGAAAGCAAGATAGTGCTGAATTAGCTTATTATCTAAAATTTGCTCTCTAACTTTACTTTTAAATTTTTCTAATTATAAAAGTAATAAATGCTTATAGAAAATTCTGGAAACCTAGAAAAATAAATGGAAAAAAAGTTACTGATATCATACCATGATCATACCACCCAGAGAAAACTATAATTTACAGAAATATTCACTACATTTCTTCTTAATCATTTTTCTACATGAACCTATTTCTCTGAATAATCACACAGATACCATTACATTGTGTAATTGTATAATATTAAATGCTTACTATGTTCTAGGTAATATTGTGAGCACTGGAGACATATTAATTTATGTAGTTCTCCAGTTGTTAAAGTTGGTACTCTTATTATACCCATTTTACAGGTGTGAAGACTGAGGATTAGGCAGTGAGTGAGTGATAGACTGGGCATTAAACCCCAGCAGCCTGGCTCCATACCACTATACAGGCCCAGACTATCATGCTGATATTTCTCTTGGGACATTTAATTTTAATGAGAAGACGGCATTCTGTGAAATAACTATAGTCTGGTTAATATAGCTACTTCCTTATTTTTATATGTTTATATTATTTATTGTTTTTATTATTATACAGTGATGATTTGGTGAACAACTTTGTCCAGATAGCTTTTTACACCTTCAAAATATTACTCATTAGTACAATTTTTAGATTAAAGATGTGAATATTTTTAATGTTGATATATATTGGATTACCTGAGTATTTTGCCAGCAGGAAGTTTGAAATTTTAGTCTTTTGTAGGTGGCAAACAGGAGATAAACTGTTCCACTCTAATCACAGTCAGCTACTTTTCACAAGTAAAGTTCGAGTGACAGGTCACATCCAGAGCTAAAACAAAATTTTGTCTTTCTTTGCAGTTCTTGTGTGTCCTTCTCCTTGTCACTGTAGCTCACTGTGAATGAGCTCTGTCACTGATCACCCCCATTCTCACTAGAGTATGTGAACCCCATAATCCATGAACAGTTTGGGGTGTGAGTACATACAAGTGCATTCTTCTGTGAAGAGGGTCACTAGCACTTAGATTCTCAGAAAAGTCAAGAGCCTCTACTATAGAATATAAGGGGATATCCTTATATATAAAATTGGTTTTGTTATAATAAAGCTGACAGATATCAAATGCTTATAAGGATGAAGGTAAGTCCCTTGGGCAAAATCAACAAAGGTCGTTTTTCTTTGAGTTGCCATCATGGAAAACAAGCCCAGAGGAAGCTCCTCTCTGCCTCCCCTCCTACCTCACCAGGGTTCAAAGAACAACCATTTATAAATTCACGTTACCATAGCAACACAATCTGTAGAGTGTCATGAAGAAATGGAGAAATAAACCAAATTGTTTCATAAGCTGCAAAAATAAAGCTCTGGAGACTTAGGAGGGGCAGGAGTAACTCGTGGACAAGTTTGTGGCTGCCTTCTCTATGCCAATGGTACTGTTTTAGGGATTTTGTTCATTTTGATGACATCAGGGTATTCCCCACCATTTTAATAGAATTAAGAGAATATCATGGTGGTAATTTGAGGAATAATTACTAAAGAAACTGCCTTCCAGTCCCTTTTCCATTTTAATTTTTCAAGGAAGGTAAAAATGCCAGTTTCAGACTCCCACCACCAGAGCTCCACGCAGGCTCAGTGACAACGTAAGCACTGTTCCCAGAGAGGAGTCAGCTGTGTCCCCTGGGGGGGTGCTCCGAAGCAGCTGGAGAGGAGGGGACTGGACCCTCAAAAAGGCCAGGGCTGAGGATCAGACAGATGCGGGTTCAGACCCCACAGCACCAACTTGCGGATCTTGGATCTTGTTCCCTGGCTGGCTTCTGCTCTGAGCGTTGTGTCCTGGTTGTAACGCAGTGTTCCTACCCCCTGGGGTTCTCAGGAATTAAGTAGCACAGTTTGGTTCATAGTCAGTATTCAATGCAAGTTAGTTCTCTTTGTGCCTTCTTTTGTCCTTAAAAAAAATCTGATACACTAATGGATATGAGAAGGCTCTGAAAACAGGAAAGACATATGAAATAAGCTTTAATGTTGTACCTCCCTCTTGCATGGATGTGAACTGGGTGTATTTGCCCCTCCAGGTCATGATGCTGATCCAGAATCACCCCGTCCCGGTGATTGCCATGGTGAATGGCTTGGCCACTGCTGCTGGGTGTCAGCTGGTTGCCAGCTGTGACATTGCTGTGGCCAGCGACAAATCCTCATTTGCCACTCCTGGTGTGAACGTCGGACTCTTCTGCTCCACCCCTGGTGTGGCCTTGGCGAGAGCAATGCCAAGAAAGGTAATTTGACCCCCTGCAGCCCCCCATCCAGTTGTAACCCTTCAGTGCATATGAGGGTTAGCTCCAGAATTCGCTTGTTAAAGTAGCATTTGAATCAGAACGTTCCACATGAAGCACAGCTGGCTGGGTGTGCCACAATGTCCCTTCTAATGTCTTGCGTGGGGACAGCGTATGCAGCTTCTCACAAAGCACTTCACCTTGTGATTTGTGCATTTCACTCTTGCCTGCCCCTCAATATGGGCTAGTTAGGTTTTTGGATTTTTTTGTTTGTTTTCATAAAGGCACACATTTTTTTGTAATCTTACTTGAAATGCAGCTGAGACTCAGTTTTGTCGCCCTGAAACCTTGCCCATGAGCTGTACTCGCATGGTGACACATGCCAGTAGCGGGAGGCCAGGATACAAGTGTTGCTGGCGTATATTGTGTGCTGACAATCTGTCTTGTTCCACAAAGGACAGAAAGTCGCTGCCGTACTGAGTGTGTCAGTTTGTGATGGTTGTATTTCAGGAGCATGAACAGCCTGTGCCTTGTGTGTTGAAGCTGCCCCAGGAGCCGCATTGTACAAGTTGTTTTGTCATTGCTAACCAAAGTGAAATTCATTTCCTTACAAAGCTTTTCCCCTTCCTATAACATCGTAAAATAATATTTACCAGTGGCTTCCTTGTTCTAGAAAAAGTACATACTCATTCTCAATTGGAAATCTGTTTAAAAATAGGGTGGCAGAGTAGTTGTATACTATAGCAAGTAGGGATCTAAATTGCCTTCTAGAATATCCATGTCAGCATCTGCTACGAAAATTAGCAGTTGCTCCCATGCCTGAGGCACAAAAGAAATGAGACTCAAGGGAAATCAAGCCACAGGACCAAGGCATTTAGAGAAGCACTCCATTCTTTCATGGTGCTTCCTCATTAGTTTTTACAGAGGTGTGTGTTTTAAGGACATTCTGAGTGCATATACCTACAGTGCACACACATGAAAACTGGCTGAACGTGGGCTCTGCAACTGCAGATAGTGGCCTGTCAAACAGAGCTGGCTGAAACGTCCTCGGCCCAAGGGGTGTTTTGATCCCTCCAGGATACACATTTACCTTAAATGTGTGTGTGTGTAGGTGTGTATGTGTATATATGTACACATATATATGTGTATATATATAAAGTCCCTACTTTGTGCCAGTACATTAAAATGCATTCATTATAAACATATGGTCAGAGCTTATTAATAACCTATCTTATAATTGTGCAAATCATATCACGAGGCCTTGTGCATAGTAAAAGGCATTTGCCTGCTTGGCCTGCCTGCATGCAGGTGTTCAATGCCCAACATTCTGGAAGGTTCCATGTTAAGGCATTTGAAACTTTTAATTAAGTCATGATTGTCTTTCCCTGGCTAGTGTAGCTCATTTGGAGCATCGTCCCATAAACTGAAGGGTCATGGGTTCAATTCCTGATCAGGGTACATGCCTAGGTTTTGGGTTCAGTCCCCAGTCCAGGTGTGTACAGGAGGCAACCCATTGGTGTTTCTCTCTCGTCCACATTTCTCTCTCTGTCTCCCCACCATCATCTCTGTCTAGAATCAATGGATGTTATCTTTGGGTGAGGATTAAAGAAATAATAATTATATGTACAAAATACATATACAGTATATATAAATCATGATCGTCCTGCTGGCAGGAGAAGAATCCATTCCTGAACTTTTTTTTTTAAAGATTTTATTTATTTATCTTTAGAGGGGAAGGGAAGGAGAGAGGGAGAGAAACATCAATGTATGGTTGCCTTTCATGCATCCCCTGCTGGGAACTGGCCTGCAACCCAGGCATGTGCCCTGACTGGGAATCGAACTGCAATTGTCTGGTTCGCAGGCCTGCACTCAATCCACTGAGCTACACCAGCCAGGGCCCATTCTTGAACTTTTAAAATCAAGTCTTATAATTGACTCCTAAAAACTTAAACATTATATCACATTGTATTTTTTAAAATTTATTTTAATTTGTTTTTAGAGAGGGTAAGGGAGAGAAAGGAAGAAAAAACATCGATGTGGAACCTGTGACCTTTCAGGTCACAGGCTGGTTCTTACTCCACTGAACCACACCAACCAGGGCCATATTTATCAAATTTTAAATTAGTTTTTGAGAAGAAAGAGAGGGAAAATGTGACAAAAACAGGATGTAAGTTCCCAGGAATTCCAGTTATTCTCAGAGTCATGTTGCATAATTGTCCAGCACGAGAGATTAAAGGGCAGGACGTAAGACCAGAGCAACTTTTTCTTCCCACAGAAAGTTCTGGCAGTGCCAGGCCCACTCCGAAGACGGGCAGAGAATCTCTCATACCGTCCCAGGTGGGTCCCTGATCTGCGCTCCTCCCGTTCTGATCCTGCAGAGGCCTTTGAATCACTAGAGTCAGTTGTAGCATTTTTGTTCGGAAGTCTCCAGGGTTTTTTCCTACTCAGCTATCCGAAAGTGGTTCAGCATTGTAATACAGCGGTCCCCAACCTTTTTGGCACCAGGGACTGGTTTCATGGAGTACAGTTTTCCCACAGAGTGGGGTGTGGGGGATGGTTCCAGGATGATGCAAGCTGATTACATTCAAGCTCACCTCCTGCTGTGCAGCCTGGTTCCTAACAGGCAGCAGACCGGTTGGCACAAGGGTCTGGGGACCCTTGTATAGAAGTCCTCGCATGTAGGGCTCATTAATGTTGGCCTATTTGGACTCATGAAGCAGAGAGATGGTTTCAGGTCAACACTAATGAGCTGAACTTGCAATACTGATCAGGGGAATTTAGTGGGGTGAAAGGCCTGGTGGCACCTAAGGCCTTTGCCAGGTTTCTGGATTGCGGATCTCACTTGGGACCTCACCCTTTAGGAGGGAAACTGGGGATTCACAAAAATCTTAACCCTGAACGAAGCACACCTACCTGGCATAACTGCATGATTCGCCCACAGGAACACATTCATACACAGGCCTGTCAGCTGCGTGTGGGTGTTGGGTACATGTCCCCATGCACATCCACAGGGAAGCAAGCAGATGCTTTTGTAAAATGGCCTAGTTGAAGAAGTTGAGCCCTTTTGATGCAGGCTAAGGCCACACATGTGGTCACCACACCCTCTGCTGGTCACCATGGGAAACTGCTCAGCTGTGCCACAGACAGAGGGCTGTATGGGAGCAGGAACAATGACATAGAACTCTTGTGTTCAAGCCAGACTGAGCCTGGGCATGAATAACATTCCACGTTTGAAAAACGTTCCTCTCCTCTGGTGTGAGTTAAATAATTCATTTTCATTGCACCATGTAAACAACCTGCCTGGAGCAGAAACTCCCCGCCCCTATCAGAAACGAGTGGCCTTCTTCAGAAACGAGTCAGTGCCCCAAGCTGTTGGCATGACGGGACAGCGCATGAAAGGTCCAGACCCTCTCATCTCAAATCACTCACTGCTGTAGGAACACTTGCTTCCACCTATTCACCCACGATAACGTGTATTTGTGGAATGTGATTTCTCAATTTAATTAGAACAGAGTAGAACTTTGAAGCTGGAAAGAGTGTTAAGGCATTGTTGCTCAGCTGGTATGCAGTTCACCATAGAGCCTGGAGAAATGCAGGGTCTCAGGCCCACCTAGATCGAATGCATAAAAATCTGCACTCTAACAGTCAGTTTTGGGGCCATCACAGTTGAGACGTGGCCTCAGCACTTTGAGAACCAGTAGCTCAATGCCCTAACTTACTGCTCAGGTTTCCCAGCCAATTGAATTAGCCCCGTGATCCACCAACTCCATCAGCTTTTTTGTTCTCTGAGTCCTCCAGCATCCCAGCCCCTGATACTGGCACACCACTGCCACCAAGTGGTTCTTGTCATAGGTGGCACTGGAGGGGACCTGGAAGGCCCCTCTGCTTTAAATAATCACCCCCTTTCAGGGGCCACAACCCCTAAAACACAAATTTACAGCTGGAATAAACATGTGAATCATAGCCACTGCACTTATTAAGTGCCTACTGAGTGCCCAGCACTGCACTATAAGCAATACATATATTTTCTCTAGTCTTCACAATTCTGCCAGAGGATGGTAGTCTCACTCCCGTTTTTCAGATAAGGAAACAGACTCGAGAGTGGGATAAATTGTTCCCTTAAGGACTGTGGTTAGCAAGTGGCCTCAGGGACATCCAGACACAAGTACCACTACCTAGGGAGTGAGCCTTGGCCTCCAGTCCTTTTTGTGGTTTTTAATGCAAATAGCAGGAGGATGAAGTGTGAAATCACCAGCTTGTTAAGGGGACCCAAGAAGTGTCCCCTAATAGGCAATAAGAGTTGGTTTAGGGAATAGGAGGTATTTTCTTCTCTCACACCTGAAGTTTCAGGGGCCCACTACATAGAAACTTAAATAGCAAGTAAAGGTTGTGCTGATGAGCTGTAAAATCAGCAGGCTTTCTTTTTCTTAGGGAATGCCATTCCATTACCTAATCTGCCTGGGTGAAGTCCCCTCAAATCAACATTGTGCTAAACAGTATCACCCCACTAGATGGGTGAGGAAACTGAGGCCCAGAGAGAAGCATAAACTAGGTGGGGGGACTTAGAAAGCTGAAGGTAGGCCAGGAACTCAGTCCAGGCCTGACCCTGCTCCGGTCCAAACTTCTTTTGTGAGCAGCTTTAATACCATTAGGACCTCTTTGGTCTTCTGGACAGAAGGGAGAGGTGCCAGGATAGCAGAAGCGTAATCTGGTTTCAACTGGTCCCATGATTTAAAAAGCCATCTAAATAAGTGGTTCTAAACTGGGGGCAGTACTAGCTCCGGGGCCATTTGGCAATGCCTGGCGCCATTTTGGACCATCACAAGTTGGGGGTGGGGGGTGGCGCCCAGTGGGTAGAGGCCAGGGATGCGACCACCTACAGAGCGTTATTCACACAACCACCCACGCAACATTATCTGGTCCAGATTATACAATGGCACTGATACTGGGGAACCAGGATCTAAATGCTCTCTCACCGGAAGTTTCAGGGGCCCTCTACGTAGAAACATAAACAGTAATTAAAGATTGTGATGATGCGCTGTATTGTATATATAGTTTAAGCTGTTCCCATTACCTCTCATTGCATAACACCCCACTGCTAATGGCTCAAAACAGCAGTAATTTGTTCAGCTCATGTGCTGTAGTTTGGACAGGGCTCTGGGCTCAGTGAGGAAAGCTGATCTCTGCTCCACAATGTCTGTGGCCTCAGCTGGGAAGACTTTTAAATTGGGGAGTGACGGCTGAGGGCAGCCAGCATCAGGCCGGGAACTCAGATGGGACACTTAGCGCAGCCTCTCGGTGTGGCGTGGGCCTCCTCAGAGCAAAGCGACTGGTTCTCGGGCTGAGCTGACAAGGGAGAGAGCCACATGGAAGCAGTTACTAACTTTTCTTTTTTCAATCCTCAGCTAAGGATATGTTTATTGATTTTAGACACAGGAAGGATGACGAGGGGGGAGAGGGAGAAAGAGAGGAGAGAAACATTGATGTGAGAAACATCGATAGGTTGCCTCCTGTCTGTGTTTCAGCCTAGGGATTGAACCTGCAACCCAGGCATGTGCCCTAATGAAGAATCAAACCCCCAGCCTCCCAGCCTTTAGATGCACAGGACAACGCTCCAAACAACTGAGCCACCTGGCCAGGGCTAGCAGTGTCACCTTTTGACCTAGCCTCCAAAGAACTACAGTGTCATTTCTTTCTACTGTGTTTGCCTTCATCCAGTCATTCATTAAATCATTCATCGATAAATATTTAGCAGGTCGCCTGCTATATGCAAGGCACTCCTCTTGTGCTGGAGATACAGAAATGAATGGAAAAATAAAAAGAAAAGTTTCTGGCCTGGTTGGGTTTACCTGCCAGAATGGAGATAAACAAATAAATGTGTAAAGTATATAGTTAAATGATAAAACTACAAAGGATTAAAATACAGAAAGTGGAGTGGTGCTGAGGTTGGATTTGCAGTTGTAATAGGGTGGCCATGGAGGACCACACTGATGTGGTGACATGTGAGCAGAGACCTCAGAGAGATGAGGGAACAAGCCGTGAATGAGGACATCTGGGGATGGAGCACTGCAGGCCAGGGAATGGCAAGTACAGGGACTGAGGTGACCACACACTTGGCATGTTCAAGGCACAGCAAAGATGCCAGCCAAGCTGCAGGAGGAGGCGAGGGGAGAGGCGGTGGAGAGGCTCTGTGTTTCTCATGCAGCTGGAAAGCATTCTGTTAAATCATAAATCTGAGCTTCAAGAAGCCAAGCTTTGTAGAATCACAGAATGGAAGCATAATACGTGGCCAGCAGTAGAGCCAAGGAAACTAGAGAAAGTGAGGAAGGTGTACCCCCCTTTCTGTAGGCCTTGGAAACCTTTGGGGAGAGGACTGTGGAAAGGGGCGTCCTCTCCTTGTAAGTTAAAATCATGCTAGGCCCCCCATCTGTCCCTGGAAGGCATTTCCTTTCACTCCTCCTCCTTTGGGCGATGAGGCTGCTCTTTCAAATCAGACTGAGGTGGTGGCTTCTCTGAACATGCCCATCATTCTGGAAAGCAGCCACTGCACTGGTTTGTGGGAGGTGATGGGCCTCGCTGCCGAGGCCTTTTTAGTTTCATTCCATCAGATGTGGCTGCTGGCCCGTGCTTGGCTCTTGAAAGAGGCAGCTCAAACCTCCTGCCTCTGCAGGGCTAGGAGCTCAGCTCTGGGGAAGGACCAGGGGACTCGAGAGTCCCGCCCTCTCCTTGGTCCTGGAAAGATCGTCTGTTCCTGATACCCGGGCCAAGGTTGTCAGGAAGTCAGGACACCAACCGCCGCAGCAGAATGAAGTAGAGAAGGTGGGACTGAGGTGGCAGTGGGTCAGGATATGTGTGCCTTAATAATCGCGCGTGTTTCCTCCCCCAGGTCGCCTTAGAAATGCTTTTTACTGGGGACCCCATTTCTGCTCAGGAGGCCTTGCTCCATGGGTTGCTCAGCAAAGTAGTGCCAGAAGAGCAGCTGGAGGAAGAGACCATGAGAATTGCAAGAAAGATTGCCTCCTTGAGCCGTCCTGTGGTGTCCTTGGGCAAGGCCGCCTTCTACAAGCAACTGTGCCAGGACCTTAGAACGGCCTACCACCTGACCTCCCAGACCATGGTGGACAATGTGGCCCTGCAGGACGGGCAGGAGGGAATCAAGGCCTTCATCCAGAAGAGGAAACCCGTCTGGTCACAATGAGCTGGCCATGTTAGAGGACCAAGGGCAAGTGAGCCCCGTAAGCAGCACTCAGGACACCCCCTCCCCTATCTGGTCCCTAACCACTGTGGCCTTGTGATGATAACGAAAGACAGGCAGACTGCTTCTGTAGCATGCGTAATAGTTTCACTGATTGCTGTCTATGCTTCCAGGGGGAAAGGATGGAGCAGAGAGTCAAAGGAAGTGCTAATTTAAGAGTAGTGGGCACCTGTGATGGGCCAGCTGCAGTAGAAAGCCTAGAATTTGATACAGTTCTTCATGGGACCTTAAGTGAGGGATCACCCTGACAGGGGAGAAGGTGATGATAAAATGAGGTGTGAAAGGAGGATGCCAACACACCTCTGTTATCAGAAATGTCCCCTAAAGTGGAGGTACCTCTGGTTGCCCCAGGCACATGAACCATTTCAGATCTCCATGAGATATTCTACATACTGAACATCTTCCTGGTTCTATTGAGAAATAATCATGCCTATGGCTTTGGAATAATCTTATGTGAGTTTAAAAGATTAACTATTGAGAGAAACTGGTAATTTTATCTTCCTAACCAGACTGTGAGCTACCTGAGGGGGAAAAATAAACTAATTCTTATTTTTGTTTGCCCATACTACAGACATACAATAGGTGCCTGATGTTTCTGCAGTGAATGTCCTGGCCATTGGGGCTACTGTGAAACCGGGACCCTGGGCTAATGCTGAGGATAAAAACATCAAGAGAAGTAGGAAGGACGCAGAACACACATCCGACCCACTAAAAATCATCTGCTCCAGATGCCCTTCCAAACTGCCCAGCTTCTAGTGAGAATCCATAGTAGCATCAGGAATAGAGTCCCCCAGCTGAGCAAGAGCTTGGATTAGGACCTAAATATACTCCTTTCTGTCTTCTGGTTCATTATGGCCCATGAGATGATCTAATTTCCTGTCCTCAAGCTTGTCCAATTTATCTTACCTAAGAGTAGGATGTGGCCCTAAGTGTGGTTAGTACCTCAGCCAAGACGAGAACGGTGTGGCTCTAACCAGTGGTTCTCACTTGGCAGGCATTTCTTGGTATGGACTTCCCCTCGTGTTTTCATGGCTTCCATGGAGATTGGCATTGTTTTTCCTTTGCCAGTTTAGAAAGGTAAAAAACAATGTTTTCTTGGAAAGGAGGAGTTTGTTTTAGGAATGCCCCTCCTGAGAGGAAGATCGTTAGAGCTGCCGCCTGCCAGACACCTGGCACGTGCTACACTCTCCATCAGCCCTCACCACCACCCAGTGGAGCAGGTCCCACACCGACCTCCGCCTCACGCCCGAGTAGTTAGTTGAGCCCCACTGGGTCCCAGATGACACTGGGTAGAGGGAGGGTCCCAAACTCAGCCTGCCTCACACAGCATGGGTGTGCTTTCTCCTGGCCACTCTGCCTCAGGGAGGCCAGCCCAAAGAGGTGACTTTGGGCTCCAGGGCAGCTCTCCAACCGAAACAACAGACCAGGTTCTCCTTGCTACAGAACTGGGCCAGTGCGTGAGGGACTTGGGATTTGAATTCTTGGCAGACCACTAGTGGAGTTTTTACTCCAAAGCTCATAAGCTGGCTGCAGCTCTAAACTAGGTCACAAAGGATGGAGCCGTCATGGCTGACTTGAAACGGTGCTGTCAGGGGGGCCCCCTGTGCCCTCTCACCAGGTAGGTAACTGGTCTTGGCAGTCACTGTTCAGCAGTCACCACGTCATACAGTGTCAAGAAGAAGGTGTTAAACTCCCTGGGCTTTCGAGATAGTAACGAAGCTTTCTCACACATTTGGCAAATGAAAAGCAAAAGTTAACTCTACTGTCTGTGTGAGCTTACACAATACCCTCAAACCATGCAATCCCAGGGCCTCTGGGCGGCCTTCGCAGCCTGTGAGCTGATGTACCCTCAGGGACGAGCTATACATCTGTATAGTCTCCTGTGCATAAAATCATCCAGAAAGAAAGTCTGCAACCCACTCTCTGATGTCATGGGATTCATCCTAAGGCTAATATAAATTTGCGGTTAATTTATATCTGCTTCCTTCCACTGGGCCATGGAGAAAATGTTCTGATAACCATGTGATGATTGCCTTCAGAAAGCCTAGTAGATTTGCCTTTTCCTGCACATTTTACTCCTCAGGGAGCTGTGCTGAGCTCAGCCCGGCAGTGCAGGGGCTAGGAAGTCAGTGAAACAGGTGTTCACCCAGGAAGGGCACCATTGGGAAGGCTGGCTTGAGCCCTGGAGAATATAAACAAAAGGAGTGAACAACTGATTAACTTTAAACCAGAGAACTTGGTGATACCAAGAGCCTAAGCTCCTGTCAGTCAGCCCTATGCAGTAGCTCTTCCTGTCCCCCTGCTATCCAGGAGGTTCAGAGAAGTTAAGGCATGTGCCATGGTGGAGCCAGACTCGGGCTTGTGCCTGTATTGTTCGGCAGCCTGTGCTCCTGCCTCCCACACTGTATTCCTCCCAGCTTAGCGGTGTTACTGTTCCGGCCTGGAGAGGAGGGCTACCAGTGTGCTCAATGAAAGCCAGTCCGAAATGGCACAGCCAAGGCAGCACTGGTTTTCTTACCAAAGGCGACTTGGGAAAGTACGAATTTGAACACAGAGCGTTGAGTCCCAGGTTTGCCATCAGCGAGCTGTGTCACTGTGTGTAGGTGATGTAGCCTTTTTAGCCCTCAGTTTCCCAGGCATAAAAATGACACCACTGGACACTTTTCCTCTCAGTTTTGACATTCTGGGTTCTACAATATTGGGTTTGGAAACTTGCTGTGAAACTTGAAACAAGAAGCTTTTGTTCCAAGAAAATGCTCTTTTGTGAATGGGGAACACAGGCATCTTCTTTTTGCATTGAAAACACCTCATTACATTTGAAAACAAGAAATCCATCACAGAGGTTTTCGGGACACACCGGAGCCCTCTGATGCCATGTCTAGGGAAACCCCGCACCAGGCAGACCTCTGTCCAGCCTGGCAGCTACCCTTCCTTCCGTCGAGGCGCAGCACCCAGCCAGCCCGCCCTCCTCTGAAAGCCCGCTGCGCTAAGAGCAGCATCTCTGAGTGTGGCCCATGGATGATCTGGACTGAGCTCCTCACCAGGCCTCTGAATCACAAATTCTGGTTATCAGGACCCCAAAATATGCACTTAAAAAAGATTTCCAAGTGATTCTGCTGCACATTAAAATAGGAACTACTGGCTCAGGATGGGAGTGACATCTCTCCCTGGCAGTGTCTATGTTGAAGCATCAGGGCCTGTGTGATGAACGTGCCAGCAGTCGCCCCGTTGGCCTGACAGGACTGCGAGTGGACACGAGCACTCCTGGGAGCCCCTTCAAATCTCCCACGTGGGCAGATTTCAGGGCCCTCCCCAGCCCTCCGTGCTCAAGCCTTTGGAAGCCCCACCTCCTATAACATCAAACGTCAATCAGAACACACCCACATTCCTTCGTAAATACAATTCTTTGTGTTAGGGAAGGAAATCAAATGATTTACTTTTAAACTTTAAAAGTATCTTTTATTAATTAATAAGGATTACTTCTGGGCATCATCAAGTAGGCAAGAATTAAATCCATTAGTTGATGAACAAGTTAATAAAGTCGAAGTTGATGCATTAGTTAATAAAATGGTAAATTTCAGTCACTCTTGCAAAGGATTTTCTTTCATATTTTGGAGCTCAAAACTTATTTTTGGAGTCCCAAACAGAACCATGAAAAGCTGCAGGCTATCCACTCTGTGCCTATAGTATCTCTTGAATGGAACAGCCCATCCCCTGCAGGCTCCCAGCTAGGGGGTGGGCTGTCCGCCCCCACCCCGACATGGGGAGGAGGGGAGGAGGTGGGGGAATCGGGTATTACAAGGTTTAGATTCCTGGCGTGCAGCCTTCAGACTCCTTACTGATTTTACATTGGTGTCTCCTTCGAATCTCTCTGTCCTGCCCAGGAATGTTTAAGCACAACCCACAAAATAATTTACAAGTAGTTTTTTGCACATTTAAGAAATATTTTCATTTTATGTTGTATGTTTTCAATATTTACCTTACCAAATTCTATGTGGAGAATGGCAATTCCCAGTTTTAGACATTTCTAGGAATTTAGAAAAAAAAGTATTGGTCCAAGTGGAATGTGATTTAGAACTTACCGATGCTTAGGCTCATGTAGTGACTGCTCCATGCCAGGCACCGGGTTAAGCGCTTTGCTGTTATTAATACTTTAATTCTCACAAAAGCTCTGTGAGATAGGCTTCATGAGCCCCATTATACAGATGAGAAACAAAAACAAAGATAGTAAAATAACTTGCCTGTCCTCCCACAGCTAGTAAGGTACATGTTCTGCTCTGCTGTTTAACTTTCTAAAACTGATGTAGGCGATGTGGTCTGAGAAGTCTGAGGGCCTGCTGCTGCCATGCAGCCTGTCGGGGAGTGAGGTTTGGCGGCCAGCTGGTCTGGCTCTGCAGCAAGACCCGCACCCAGCAGCCTGCCGCCCCTCTTGCCTGCTTGTAGGCAACCTCCACGTTGCATCACTTTGCAGATACTGTTCTTCTGCTCTGCATGAAGCACATTGAATTACTGTTTTTAATTCACAGTTCCCTGTATCATCCTCCCTGTCCCCCAACAAAAGTGTGCATCCCTGCAGGGCCACACCGATCCTCATCCCCTTTGTAAATTCTCAGAGCCTAGAACTGCCCAGCACAGAGCAGACTTGTTTGGTCCAGGTCAGCATGGCCAGGATAATTCCCCATACAGGTTACCTAAAACAGACAGGTGGTTTGGGTTTGGTTTGGTTTTTAATGCTCAGGCCATATCTTCCAAATCAGTTTGGGAAAGTTAAATGGCTGAGCAGAACATCAATTAAATCAACATTTCTTTGTAGGTCCAGGGAGGTTGTAATCATCTCTTTGTAAATGTAGGTGGATATTAGGAAGTCACACCACTCACTTGGATGAAATCAGACCCAGGGGTTCTGTAAAGCCTGTTTTCCTTCTTTAAGGCGCAGCGGGAACATGTTTTGGTGTCCAAATGGTTGCCCTGCTGGCGGTAGCACATTCTTCACATAGATAAATGCAATATATGGTTGGTTGACAAGGGGTGAAGGTATTAAATAGGTTTGTTCTTCACAGAATCCATTCAAGTGCTTAAAATGCTTATGTGAATCTTAAACCAAAATTGTCTTGTTTGCTACTGTGTTGGCACTATGGAATGGGTTTTTGTACAAGATGACTCCGACCCTCTGGGAACTTGGTCTAGGAGATAAGTCATGACCACGTTAAAATTCAAATACAAAATAGTCATCAAGGGATGAGACTCAGACAGCTGGGTTGCCTCTGAGCCCAGCCCTTATGACCAGCTCGGTGCTGTGGGGCTAGTGTTTAACCTCTTTGAGTTTCTTCCTGGTTATGGCAGGGATAACGATAACACCTACGTCCTCAGTGGAGGGGGCATTAAACTGAACTACACATGTGGCGCAGTATTGCTGATGACCCACTTCCATTTCACCTGCAGCCGGGGTGGGCAGTTTCCACAGGTAAGAGCTCCCCCATCTTATGGATTGAATTGTGTTACCTCAAAATTCCTATGTTGGAGCCCTAGCCTCCCTGCCTCATTGTGACTATTTGGAGAAAGGGCCTCTAAAGAGGTAA